GGACTACAAACATTTAGTATTAGTTTTTATTTTCCCACAATTATATGAATAGAGCTGACGTTTGCATTGAATTTCACGTAGCCCTGTTTTCCCAAAAGCCAAGGCTATGTTAAATTCAATGCAAATGTCAGCTCTACACATATCATCGTGCGAAAAGGCTACTACCAGTGCTTCATATTCACAATATTTCCGTTTTTCATTCTATTTTGCTTAATTTAGTCCACATAAGAGGTTAGATAGAGCAGGTTAGTCTTCATGCGGTGATCTTATCGTGACACCAAGCTCTGATAATGTCCATTTAGGACTTATGGTCCTATTCCAAACCAGACTTCGCCTTGGTTTCATGATCTCTCGACACAAAAGTCCATGTTGGCCTGTTTACTTTCACAGTCAAGCCCTTGCAATGATCTCACCTGTCCGCACTTGACTACGGACCCTCGGCAATTAGGCGCTTGGTGCGAGTGTGTCTCGCCTGAAGTCGCGGTTACATGGCGGCCAACAATTCACAAGTAGACACGGTAACCAGAGGCTACAGTAAGGAACAAATCGATCAGTCAGCCGACGACAGAGACCGGCTTTTACAAGAACTGTTGACCAAAACTGTATGCACATGTGGCTTCTCCAAGTGGCGATGCGTTTGTTGGCGAACCGGAATATTTACATGTTTGAGGACAGAGGGGAACATGTCGGCTCCAGGTTTGCGCAAATGCATTCGATCAGTTGTGATGTGATTTGGTCGGTAGCGCCACTTTATTCGTTGTCGAACGACGCCGAAACTTGCTATTCCCATTCTAGCCTCATTCATAGCCTCAGTGATAGCGTTTCCATGACACTGTCGAGAGGGTCTGTTGCAAGTGGCTTCGAGTCCGCGACCCTTTGGTCCGGGACCTTTTTCGCAATTCGCCCACAAAGTGGTACATCGGACGTCGGCATACGCCGCGGCTCTATTGGGGGGTCCGTTGCCTCATGTCGACTCTCAACAAGAGGCTGGGCCCTTCGAGGCGAGGCGAGGCGAGGCGAGGCGAGTCGAGTCGAGATGAAGAAGAGTCGAGTGAGGCTGCGAGAGCAGAGAGAGGACGAGAAGAGTCGACCGATTGGTTGTGAGATGTCCTTGCCCTTATGCCTCCCTAAGACGGCCCGTGAATCTCTGCTCAAGACCCGGTCACTAAGTGACCCAGCCCGGTCTATCAAGTCTGCGAATTAGTCTTTTTTTCTCTCTTGCCCGACTACATCATCACTTCCCTCTGCCTCGTACTCTGTCCGCACCATCTCTTTCGTATTTTACCATCTCCATTTCTATCCATTTGCACTGCTTACTTCAAGAAGATGAGTTAGGTCAAACCGAAAACACACATTTGTCCACCTTCACACATTTGTCCACCTTCACACATGCACTCATACATAAATACATACATACATACATACATACATACATACATACATACATACATACATACATACATAC